TTATCTAATACTTACATTTTCTACTTTTGTATAGTTAAGGATATGGATTGCTTTAGTTTAGGGAAATGTGAAGATTAGCTCAGTATAGGAAATAGTGCAGGTGCGTGTCCAACCAGTCTTAGGACTGATGACCCTATGATGATGATATATATATTAAACAGTTGTGCACTTAATTTACATCCTTGTTTTACACCTTTTTCCATCCAAAATATCCTTGTCTTCCTACCACTTAATTTTATAACCCCTACAGTTTCCCTATATATATCTCCATTATTCAGTGGTTTATCATCAGTATAATTCTAATAAAATCACATATCTATAAAATTTTGCGAGGCTAACTTCTCTGGTGCTACAATTTTCTGGGATAAGCTGACTATTAAAACATATATTTAAAGGATGAAACTGACTAACTCGTCTACTTCCGATATCCAGGATTTTGTCGTTTAAATGGAAATTGTTTAATAAAAATTGCTAACATTTTGTCATGTTTCAGCTGGAACCAAGTAACTCGCCTCGTTTAAAATGTAAGTGTTATGTATGGCATCGATAACGATAATCATCCATCACATTTGGACGAGTTCAACTACTACTTTATATCTCAAGAAAAATATATTGCATACTTATTCTAATATAAAAAAGTTACGTCAGTAACTACCGTATTGGTTCAAATTAATTATATAAAGATATGATGTATTTGATTAAAACGGGCTTCACTGGACAATTCTTATGTTGGTCATTTATTTTCAACCTCAAGTTTTCGTCGTGACTTCTCGGCTTGCTCAGGAGAATTAAGTAAATTTATGAGATTAATTTTGCACCATTACTTATTACTTACGAAAGTGAAGAGTAAGTTTATTTGATCCAAAATTTACGTGTTTTAAAATTATTTTAACATTTTTAATGGATTTTTTTTAAGTACTAGGTTAAAACTCAACATGGTTACTATAATTCATCAAAAAGTCGACATTTATAAGTGATCAGATAAAAAATATTTAAAACTCATAGCTCCCTGAGATAGTTGGGATGATCAAAATTGGCAAACTCTGCTTTTCCACTTCGGTCCCCGTAAGAAAAATTTCCATTGAACTTCAATGGGAATCAATGGAAAATTTGTAAATTCCATTCAAACCCATTTGACATAAGTGGAAAAATAATTGTTTCCATTTACAATAATTCCATTAATATTTACATAGGAAAAATTTCCATTTATTTTCAATGGGAACTAATGCAAAATTTATAAATTCTAT